CCTCTTTCAGTTTGAAGCCATTCCTCCTCATCCTGTCACTACAGGCCCTTGTAAAAAGTCCCTCTCCAGCTTTCTTGTAAACCCCCTTCAGGCACTGGAAAGCTGCTATAAGGTCTCCCCAAAGACTTCTTTTCCCTAGGCTAAACAACCCCAACTCTCTTAGGCTGTTTTCACAGAAGAGGCGCCCCAGAACCCTGATCATCTTTGTGGCCCTCCTCTGGACTTGTGCCTACAGGTCCGTGTCCTTCTTATCTTGGAGATCCCAGTGCTGGATGTAATACTCCAGGTAGGGTCACACAAGAGCAGAGGACAGGGGCAGAATCATCTCCCTTGACCTGCTGGCCACGCTTCTTTTGATGCAGCATAGGAAAGTTAGCTAGCCATAAGGAAGACACACACAGGTTTGTGCTCTCAGGGGTAAACTGCAGGGGACTAAGATGAGTCCCCAGAAACAGAATATAACTACCAGAGTCTGTTCATCTCACACTGCTACTGTCAGTGAAAATCTTCAGATGTTATTTGCTCTGTTGAACTCAAGGAACAGGTAACAGGTAATCCTGCACATTTTGCAGGCCATGCATGCAAATTAGGTTTCAAACTTGCAAACTCCTATTTATCACAGGTGTAAGATTACTATTATCATTGTACATTGCTTCATCTCCTTCCTAAACCACATGGCTACAACACTTTTGAAGAGGGAAGTTACATTTTGTAACATTTTAGTAAAATAATGTCAACGAAAGCTTTCGATCACTGGAAAAAAAAGAAGACAAAATCTGTCTCTTCTGAGTATACACTATTTACCTCTGAAATTTAATATGCATGAATTCTTCAGTTGGAACCTTTGTACCTGGAAAGCAGATACAGCCTGCAGCACATCTTACAAATCTTTGGAGAGTGCATTTTCTTATACAAGTCCGTACAGGATTGGTATACTGCTAGGACTATGCACTTAATTAAGTGTCAAGTAAGAAATGATTTATGGATCCCAATATAGAAAACAATATGCTTATCTTTAAATATAAACTCTTTTCTTTATTTCCAATACACTTATATGCATAAATGCAGGGCTACAGATAATAGAATATTAAAGCTTACATATATAAATAACTTTATGTATATACATCAGGAAGAAAAAAACCCTCAAGTTTAAAGGATAAGTCACCTTAAATACTTCTGTTGTTATTGAAGATCTTGTTACCTGATAGCATTACAGGCAACATCTAAGAAAAAGATAAAACATTATTTTGCCAGGTTTGGAAAGAGCAGATCTGTTACTCATGCATCATTATTAACTGTTTCTTAGTACCTGGAGATGCTTGTTGATCTTCCCTTTTCTCTGTACAAATTTTAGCAGAAGGTCAAGGACAAAGATTCTTTAAAATGAGGAATTGTAGCTTAATGCCACAGACATTTACAGTCAAATCCACAGCATGGTGTTTGAAAACTCTTTTGACTTCTTATTTTTAACTGATTGTATTTATATGTGGTGGTATCTTTTTAACACCATGACTGAATGGTGGTGTTTTTAAAAAACAGTATTTTAGGTATCAAGCAATTCATGTAAAACATACATAAACTGTAATTCTTACAAGCAGCAGAAAATTTGTTCAAGAAGTAAATATTTTAATTGCATGACAATTAAAGAAGTTATTGCAAGACTTTTTTTTTTTCTCAATAATGAGCTCCTCCTTAACAAAAGCTGAATAGGTAACATTCAATCTCTTCAAAATTATCTCACTTTTAAGCAAAAAAGGGAGCAGAATTATTTAATCTCCTCCAAAAAAACACTATTGAATAGAACTGATAAAATAAACTCATATGTAACTTTGTTTGTTGAAGAATCTGATACAGTAATTTCTTGTTTATTTTACTTTGCCATGAGGTATCAGAAAGCAGTAGACAGAGAAGAAATTGCTATTTGAATAAGCATCACACAAACTTTTCCAGAATGTAGAAACAAGTAGTCTGTACCAATTACACAAAAGTCTATGACAATTTCTTCACTGAAATGTGGAAAAAGTTTTCTTGATGCTTCCAGAGCAAACTCCGAATGCCCAGTCAGATTCCCACATGACAAAAATAATTACATATTCATAACCACTGGCACACAAACCTTCATATCAGCAAGTGAAGAGAAAATTATGGCAGTCTAGAAAAAAAGCTTATGAAGGCATTCTGCACAAATAATTACCTCTGGGAGTGAGAACGGAGATTAGAACACGTCTTGGGGCTCAGGACACTAAATCTCTATTGCAGGCTAATGCTGACTTGCTTTGTGAATATGGCCAATGATTTTATTTCTCTATTTCTCGCTTTCTCTGGTCTCTGTGAAGATGTCTCTGTTACAAAAATAGAGTGCTAAAAAGCTGAAGAAGCCAAGTAAGTACAGATTTTACATTGAAAGGTAATATATTACTAAAAATTACTCTTTTCAAGTTCACTTCAAAGGCTTGTTAAAAGAAACTGTCTGCAGAGAGGGATTGCAGGACTGTATAGCTACCTACTGGAACATCTCTATATAGCACTTATGTTGCTCTTAATGTTTGAGTAGCTCCTATTCCTGGTGTAGTGCTGTAGACACCCAAGTCATCTTTGTGAGTGATGTGCAGCTTCCAGGGGAAGAAATTCTTCTCAGAGGGCTTCTTCCTGCTCTGAAACACCATGAGTTCAACATCCTGATCAGACAGCAATCGAATCAGATCACCATCAAGGTCCCGGTAATTCAAAACAATGTCATCTTGGTCAAACTCCCGCCTGGTAGAAAAGAAATTGATTGATTCCCAGAAATCAAGGAATGCTTGAGAGGTGCCTCATGATGAACAATATACTGGCAATCTAATTAATTGTGCTAAAAGCCAGACAAAGCTTTAAGTGTCTTGGCATTCTTGAAACAGCTAGTGCTAGAAATCATACAGCCACGTTCATGCTGTGTTGTGTTTAAGTTGAGAAATCTGTAAGATCCAAGAACTTTTTCCAGTAACACCACATGCCTGGCACAATTAATATACAAGTTTGATAAAACTCCCATACATAGGAGTTGACTATAGTTACTACCCACTCTCGTCTACTTATTTATCGTTGCTTTTTTAGAGGTGACTGCAGGTTAAGAAATGCAAAATATTAGAATAGGTGTTCTATTACTAGTATTTGATGCTTCCTGCTTTTACATTCAACACTAGATTAATCTAGTTTAACACTAGTTTAATGTTAGAAAGCAGTGTCCTGCATCCTGAAGAAATGTAGGCAAAAGATCCTTGCATGGGAGTATGGCTCTGATCTTACAAGAAATGGAAATGTCTACCCAGCATAACTGAGTTAGAAGTGCGTGACACTCCATGCATACTGGCAATCCCAAGGCGGACTGGTGTCTGCACGAATGGCCCTGGGCCAAGTCAAATTACGGCTTCTTCAGGAAACTTGAAAAGTAATTCACACCCAAAATACTGTGATGACGAAGTAGAATGTAGAAAACCTAGGACTTCACCTAGGAACTTCACCAAGGTTTGAATTATATTAAACATGCAACTAATGGCTTGCATCGTACCTCATCAATTCCATGAGATCTCTGAATGATGGAATGCTGCTGAGATCCTCTTCCACTGAGATATCCCTGTAACAAGAACAAATCTCATCATTACATACCCATGAAAAGAGAATTGTTGAATCTTTTCAGCAGTAAACTGGAGGACTGTTTTCTTACTACCTGATAGTGCTCACTGTCTCATCATGGTAATAACAACGAACTTTATTAACTGTGTCTTCCTGCTGCGGTAAATCTTTTATGATCTTCACAAAAGTACATGGGAAAATCCCAGTGGCATCATTAACTGTTCCCTGGAATGACATGAAGTGTTAGAATAAAGAAAACCGTGCCATTTTGGCCACATATATTAAGTTCTGTAATACAATTAATTTCCATGGAAACAACAAGATAAATTTTTCTACTATAATCTAGAAAAGAAAAGCTATGACCTGATGGTATCTTTACAAAAAGATTATACAATTGCATAGTCGAATACAAGGCGGGGGAGTGAAACAGGGTGTAAAAAATGAAAGTCAGATGGTTACCAAGGAAGGCTGTGGTGTTTGAGCAAGCAGAGATATCATATCAGCAAACACACAGTATGTTCTCCTCATCCTTTTTCAGAACACTGCTGCATTGCCCAAGTTTTCCCTAATCAGGCTGACGTGTGTTGTGGTATGAAGCATGAAGTATATAGCAACTCACCCTAAGGCAAGAAATCAATTAATCGCTGAAATGGAGTTTCCATCTCTTTTCTGTGGCCTTTTTGTGTTCTAATCACTTCCAAAGAAATTAAAAACATTCCAGCAGAAGCAAATGCAAATGAAAACTGAATTCTAGAGGGCAGAAAATTTGTAAACTAAAAATCATCAAGGGAAGAAGCAGTTTCAAATTTGGAGTCCAGGATTTATTCTTGACAGTAAGACCCAATTGTGATACAGTTTCTCCTTGAAAGGAGGAGACAGGTCCCAAGGACTAGGAGAGCCCTTTCTACTCATATATTTCAAGGTATGCTAATAATTCAGTATTGCAGTCTTACCTCCAACCAGTCTTTGTTTACTCTGCTGAGTAGATAGATCAAGTCTCCCTTCTTGAAGCTGAGTTCCAGTTTATTGGTTCCAGAAAAATCAAACAGTGCCTATGGAAAGTAATAACACTGAAATTATTGATTCACAGGATTACAAAAGTGGATTTTTCTTTCTGTTCTGTTCTTAGGGTGAGAGCATAAAGCAGCACAATAGTATGCACTTTGTCATCACAGATGTATTTCTGTGGTAAGGTCATATATATGACTGTAGTCTGCAGTTCTCACAATTTCTTTTCCTACTCGGCACACACAGAAATGCTTTGAAGAAGCAGTGCAAGCACAAGGATAAGAAAAGCTCTGAGAGGGCTATATGCAAGGATTTAAAGCAGCAGGACACTGAGCACCAGAGAAATAAATATAAAGAAGCTGAAAACACTTAGGAGCAAGTAAGTCAACAGAGCTGAAGACAATTAACAACTTTAAATCCTAAGAACTGGAAAAATATATGTTATTTCTGGTTGCAGCTTTACAGCTTTCAGATTTGCTGCAAAACATCACAAAGAGTCTTAAAAATTGCAGAAGTGTTGTGTCCTAGTTTAAGGGTAATTAGCTGTTGTTTTGTCATCTAGCTTTCAGGCCTGTATGCTGAACAGAGATATTCGGGGAAGTCTGGGAAATTGTCATGTAGTTAAAATGGAACATAGATGCCCCCTTCAGGGGGAAAAAAAAAAACCCACACACACACAAAAAAAAAAACCAACAACAAAAAAAACCCAAGAAGAAAAAAAAGGCAAGCACATGGTATCACCCTAACAAGCTGCTCTTGAATAATTAAAGTGGCCGAGTTATCAAAAATGCACATCCCACATCCACATCTCTCCCATTGTCCTTAAAGAACATTAAAGAACACGGTAGCCATTTAAATGCTCTTACTGGAACAAAAATGAAAAGGTGTTCTTTATTCTGCATTGAGATGGTTCTTTCGGTCTTGTTAATGCCAAGGGTTCTCCTCATTAAAAAAAAAGACAATGGCTACTGTTGTGCTAGCAGTTCATATGTTTACTTAATAGCTCTTTCAAAAGCCTTTTTTCATCTACTGAAAAGTTTTGGTAGGTATATTCAATACCAATAAAAATCAAATATCAGTAAATAATAGATAAAACCCAAGAGATATGACTGATCCAAGACCTGCCATACTCAGTGTAAAAAACAAAAACAACAAACCTCAAAGCACTTGCATGTTTTTTTTTTTAAATAACATGGAAAGGTCACATGTTCCAGAAAGCAAGACCATACTCAGAAAAGTAGTGGTTACAAAGCAGTTCCATGTGCTTAATACCAAGACAATATACAGCAAAAGACAAGTGTATAGGCACTTTTCAGGAGGACAATTATGTTACAGAAATTACTGAGATGCTTCCACTTGCAAAACTTTTAAAGATATATTGAAGCAAATGAAACTGAAGATTGTGTTTGTTTAAAATTTAATTTATGGGTACCAATATGTAAATGTGGACCATTTGGCAGTAAGCTGTATAAGTCTCTCAATTTTGGACCTCCTGTCATTCTGACTTCACAATGGACCTTCTTACTACTCAGGTAAGGAGGAACAGAACACTTCTTTCCATCCTTTGTTTCATTCTCTGTTAAAAAAAATAAATTACTTTCCTGTGATTTCACTTTCCCTTCTTTCCCCTTCTTTCCTTTTCTAATTGGAAAGGCAACTAGATTAATGAGGGACCAAAGAAAAACAGAGCTTAATCTTCTCTTCTATGACAATTTGTGCAGAGTACTCACCTCAGCCCGTGGAGCTGCCATACGGTCAAAAATAGGCACTTGAGGTGAAATGCTTTTACTGCAAAGGAGACAACAGGGAGGTAAAAGTGTATTTCTAGTCATCAAAAATACTACACAATCAGTAGTATAGTGGCTGCATTTTCATTATCTAAGAGGCAGGCAAGCCATAGATCACCGGAAAAACTGCATGAGAATCTGTGTGCGGCAAACAAGTAAATAAATATGGATACAACAACATTGCCCTAGTTCTCTAAGTTTCAGTGCAGAGCAGCAGCAATCTGATGATGTCTGCTGCTGAGAACAGATGGAATTTTCAATACAGTCGGTATCCTGGACCTCTCTTCCACAGCACTGCTCAGCCCCCCTACTCTGCCTTCTGGGCATCCCTATTTCTAGCATTTATGGCATTGAGTTCAAACTCTGCCATCATACACACATCCAAAAATGCATACACATACGCAGTTTTTGCACTATTTGAGGTAAGTGAAAGGAACAGAGTCCATCTTTGCTATTTTGAAAGGAGAATTGATTTGTCTGAAGGGTACTGGTATGACGTCTGCTTAGCAGTTCTCCAAAGGGGTGTCAATGTTGCTATGTAGAACAGGGCCCTGTTTAGACAAAGGACAGGAACAAATTAAGTTTTCAGTTTCATTTAGCATCTGAATCAGATCTCCCCAAATTCAGTGCCAGAACTCACATTAGCTTCAATGGTGCAAGCCTACGTCCTTAAGCTTGGCCTGTATATTCTGCACATTATAAGAGATTACCATTAAAGAATTATCAATGTACAGGGTTGAGCAGCATTTTTTTAGAAGCAAGCTGTACTCTCCTTTTGGGATTTTCCTTTAATGCCAGTAATATACCCACTTTAAAAATTTGAGATTACTGAAAACAAGAAATACCCTATGTTCACCACAAAGATCATCACATTAGGACTTCATGGATTCACTTGGGGAACACAGTGGTGATCCTTGTCTCTCCATCCCCCCCCTGAACTGGACAGCATCTCTTACATCAAGCAATGCTAAAAAAACATGTCAATCACTTACACTCGGCGTGTTCGTGGGCGAAGTCGCCTCAGTCTGTGAGGCACCTGTTCACAATCAAAGGTTGAGTGGTAGAAGAACAGCCGTACCTCTTCATCCATCAACACCCAAGCGGGTAGGCAGAGTAGGTTCTGTGCCAAAAGCAAGTAGGAACCAGAGTGTAACAGTGGGAGAGACCAATCCTCTATTTATTTACATGTAACAAATATGCCTCTCTGACCTACAGGATCATGAAGTACATTCATTACTGCCAGAAATCTCCCTCCTCTCCCTTCTCACTCAGCAGGACACAGCTGAACAGCTGACAGTTTCTCCTCTTTATTCCTGCAGTTGGCCAATGTATTGCTTCACTCTTTTTGTGCCTGATTTACTGCAGAAGGAGTAAATTGCTCTTTGTATTTCCCTTCAGAACATGAATGACTGTGGAAAGAAGGCAATCTTAAGTCCTGGAAGTCTTGGCCAGTGCTTCAGATTTTTACTGCTTTCAAGTCAGGTCTTCAGTTAACCTGCACATAAAGAATTTCTCTTCTCGATGTTACTGGCTGTATCTTCACTGTAGAGCAGGTACATTCAGAAGACCACCCCACTCTCCTAATCCCTTTGGTCCATATATCAACTCCATATTCATGCAGCACCTGGAGAGTCACCATTTCCTCATACATCTTGTTTGGTTGGGGGTTTTTGGTAAGGATATCTATTTATATATGAAGACAGAGAGTGAGTGAACTGAATACTACAGCAGATCCTAGACCCTGAACAATGTGGGGAATAGGACTGCAGGCTGCTCCACAGTGTGGACACTGCATCTTCAGGAAAAACAATAGAGAGAGAAGCAGATACTTGGAACTACAAAAGTACTGTCTCTCTTAGCTGATTTCAAGGGGTAAGTATCAGAACAATCTTTACTTTAAAATTAAGTTTTACCTTCATGTAGACATTTAGGATAGGAATCCTGTTCTCAGCAATTTCCTTTTTGGCCCCAACATAAACTTTTCCTGGAAAACATAAAATTCATGACAGTTATTGAAGAAAAAAAAATGGAAGTTGTCAGAGAAATGAAGGAATCAGGAGAAAATAGGATCTCCAAGAAAATATGTATTTCCTAAAGAATTTTCAGTTTCTAAATGAACTTTGACACAAGAGGAGGGACTGCCAATGGAACCTGACTTCTTCAGCATCCACAGCTCTGAACTAGCTCCTTGTCACAACTCCTTCCCTACAATATGCTCCTCTTTAGGACACCCTGGGGCTGAGAAAGCTGTGAATCATATACAGAACTGGTACTGTCACCTTACCTGGCAATATGGGGAGTGTGCAGGTAAAAGGGCTATTTTTGCTCTCTGGCCCATATCTCTCCTCTAGTTTGGTGTGCAGGGCATAGAACTGACGATAGCGTCGGAAAATCAGGTATCTGCCACCACCTTTAAGCTTTACTTCAATGACAAACATCTGAAACAGAAAAGGGGGATTCAGGCTGATGTTCATACTTATAAATACTTTCAAAATTAAAGTGAGGCATACAATAGGAATATAAGATCAGTCCTCCAACAGTGGGAACATTTTCTTAGGGACAGAGTGGAAAGCAAGCCTTCAGTTAAGCATCTGCAGACTCAAGTATGAGAAAATAAGAAGTTGGCACCAGACAGTATTGTCCAGCTCTTCTATGGATCATGTCCCTGTGATTGCTTTATATTAGATAATCTTAAAAGGAAACCTGGAATTACTAGATTCTACTTTATGCTCACACACCTTCCCTTGGCGACAAACAAAACATATTAGGGAGGTAAATACAAATATTTTACAGTATGATGCTTTGAACATTAAATATATAGACAGATATCTAATATATAGACAGACATCTAAATGAACTCTTTTTCAGAGTTGAAGGCATTCATACTTCTTTTTAACTTTAAAGTACCCAATTTCAGAAATTATGGTCTGACCAAAGGTAAGGACAGAGAAGAAAAAACAACTTAGCCACTTTACTTCTAATGTCCTCCTCCAACCACTACCTCATTTTGTATTTCTTGCCAAAATAGATTTGCTTTAAAGAAGCCCGTGATTTCCATGCACCGACCTCTGAGTCATGTTGCAGCCATAACTTTCAGAAAAGATAAAGACAGAGCAACCAAACGTCACTGTATTCCAGAGTAAAACCTGCATACTGCAGTGGGAAGGTTTTATAAGCAATGTCTCCAGCAAAAGCAGCATAACCTTCAGAAGTCAGACTTCTGTAGTACTCTAACAGTACAATACTCTAACAGGAAATAAATTGGAAATTAGGTAAGAATTTAGAAAACAAGCAATGTTAGAGGATACCTCTGTCACATTTCACCCAGGCAACACATTTTTAGACTAAATCTGTGGTAGACTGACCTCCATTCCAGAAAAAAGAAGCACTGAGAAATTCTCTGAATGGAACTGTGCATACCAAAAAGCAACTACACCAGACTAACTGCATTTTGCTTCCCACAGAATCACAGAATGTTAGGAGTTAGAAGAGACCTCAAAAGATCACCTAGTCCAACCCCCCTGCCAGAGCAGGATCACCTAGACCAGGTCACACAGGAATACATCCAGGTGGGTTTTGAATGTCTCCAGAGAAGGAGACTCCACAACCTCTCTGGGCAGCCTGTTCCAGAGCTCTGTCATCCTTACAGTGAAAAAGTTCTTCCTTATGTTTACATGGAACATTATATGCTCCAGCTCGCACCCATTGCCCTTTGTCCTATCATTGGACATAACCAAGCCAGTTACAGAGGACATATAGAGACAGAATAAATCTCCCTTCTTACATAATAATTAGTAAAGCCTTTCTTCTCTTCAATATCGGCAATGTTAGCTGAAATAGGCACATCATCTGGAAGCTGGTCAAAATCACTGTGAAGAAAAAACCAAAAGATTTAGGTTATTCATACTGGCATTAGCCTTCAGAGGTCTCTGTGCCACTCAGAACAAAGACAGTTAGGCAACATCACATTATCTAGCGCCAAAACCAAGAATTTAGAAACTCAAGGTGTCATTCTCTTCCTCTGGAGGTCTGATCTTGAGATGTCAAGTTCTTACAAGTTCAGCAGAAGTCAGTGACCATTGTGAAGATTCATCAAGCATGGGAAACATCCCTATCATTCCTAGGCTTGCTAGAGTAGCAGGACTACAAAAGAAACACGTCAGCTAGTAAGCTTTTCCTGAAAAATGTGATCAACCAAGGATACATTCTTAATCCTTCCTACAGCATCTCATAGACTTACAATAATAACTCTGCAGCAGTATCTCTTATTCTAAGTAGATCATTATATACCATGATTTATGTTATTATTGCTGCGTTACTGTAGCAAATAGGGAACAGTCCTGTGGAAAGAGCTTGTTGTGCTAGAAAAAGAAAGAAAGCTGTAGAAAGCTGTAGCACAAAGCTAATTCCTAAAAACCTTACACTCTGTGTGTAAGATGCATACAATGTACATTATACATATAAGAAATAACAGAAGGATAAGCACAAAGGGGGCGGGGGGGAAAGACATAGTATTGTTCTATATCAGAACTAGTGGTGCTGGCACCAGCTGTCAAAATGCTGTCAAGTTTACTTGCAAACATCACAGTAAAGCAGACTTTTAAAGAGGCCTTGAAAAAAAGAAGTAGCCTAGCAAATATTGCCAGGGAGACCTCGCAGCCACAGCAGATAACCTGAAGCAAGCACAAAGATACTTGTTTGAAAATGTCAGAAAATCTGTGAAGGAACACATGATAGTGGGCAAGGTTAGAATAAGCTTTGCAGATCCTAGAAAGTATTGGATTTGAAGCAAAAGAGAAGGAAGGATCCCTGCAGGAATATCTAAAGAGCAGACATATGACCACACTCTCACGTTTCTTGTCTATATTGTCCACATAATAAAACAGCATGGATTGACAGGTACTTATTTCTCAGGGACCTTCTCCTTGATACGTCATCTTTGACAAAGAGAAGACAAATTCACATTTGCTTCAATTTTACAACTCAATGTTGATAGAGTGGTATTTATATTAAGACAAGTAAAAAGGATCAAGAGTGGAGAAAAAAGGTTAACAAATGTCATAAAGAGAAAGATAAAGTTTAAAAAGGATCATCAAAGAATTGCCAAGCTGATGTAATGTTAAATATTCTGATAATACAAAAAAACATGGCAGTTGACTCAGTTTATTCTGCTAGGAGAATATCCCAAGCATGGGTTTCCACAGTGAGTAGTCCATCTGAAAGACCGATGTAATGATGCAAAGTCTTGCAATAGCTTGCTGTACGAGGAGAATGACATGAATCAGCACCACCCACAACACCATAAATAATACCACTTACTGTGAAGAGGGGTGTGGTTATGGAGAACAAGAAATATAGTTAGTCATATCACAAACACTCATATCACAAACCCCAGTAAAAGGGAAACTGTTTGCAGCTATAATGAGGACAATGACCCACTATTGTCCTAGATGGTGAATATTCACAAGGAAAAGAAGAAAGTCCACTCCAATTTAAGAAATTGTCTCCTCCACGCTGAGCAGACTAAAAGTTCAGAAGCTACAATAACAAGAAACCTTTTAGAATCATTAAAGAAGCTTGCATTCAAATTAAATGAACAGATCATAGCAGTTACATGGAGGCTTGCGGGCAGACAGGAGGAGGGAGAGACACACTACCTCTTTTCTCGCAGCTGTCGGGGAAGAGACATGGCTTTCAGCTACTTAAATCCAGATGGCTAAGCTCTATTCCTCCACTTCTTGGGCAGTTCCTCGTTGAATAGGATGAACAAAGTCAAAGCAATTCTCCCTGCGTGAATCAAGACTCCTTTGCAAGGCCTGAGAGATCTTTTTTTTAATGTTTCAGTGTCAGACGATTTCTTCAGTACCTCCCCACCCCCAGGAGATTGAGGAAGTACTAGAGAAAAAAACAGTAATAATGAAAGACTGTTTTGTGATGTCTGTCATGTATTGAAACTGCCATAGTTGAGAAACGAAAAGCCCAACAAAAAGCAGAAACTATGAGGCACATATTTCATTGCCCACCTCCTCACTGAGACATCTGCCTCTGTGGAAAGCCAGTATGAGTGGGCTCAACAATTCTGTTTTACCCCAGCTAAAATGTTCCCATATACACCTCTTCACTAACAACTGTAAATTACGATGAATATTTTTGATCCCTTCTTGAGGCTCTGTGATTCCTGAGAATCCTCCTATCCACAGACCAAGAGCCAGGAGGTGGAGCTAAAGAATAAATTTTCAAGTGGGAGCAGAAAGTATGCCCAGGAAAGTCAACCTTGACAAATACACAGATACCAGGGTATCAGGTACAGGAGATTAGGAAACGAGCTTTGAACAAGCTTTTTTGATCAATGCAAGTAAGACATGAGTCCTTGGAAGAGCAGAGATGTGCTCAGCTTCACGTGCTCAAAACAGTCCACATTTACCACCTACAAAGTCAAGGTAATGGCTCACGCAATGAGAATCCTGACTGCCCTGCCTTGTACACAAAGGGTAATGAACCAGCATTTGTATAACATCACTTGACAGTCTTGCAAGAAAACAAAAGAAAGAAATTGACGAAGAAACCATGATTTCCTAACACTCCGGATAAGTTGCAGCACAGCTTATCTGCCTTAGTCAAAAGCTGTCATGTGCAGTATCTTTGCCTCCCCATTTCAGTTTTTGACTCTCTTCCATTTTCATGTTCAATACACATTTGGTTCCTTCTCCTTCTGCTGTCAAGCACAAAAATTCTCATCTGAATGGAGCAAAAGTCAACCAGCATCCTTCAAAATAAAACTCTATTTACAACTGTAATCATCAGCCTTGAATGTAAACTGCATTTCACTGCATTTTAATGAAGTAAGTTCTTCACCAGTCTCTTTCCTGTGGATAACTGAAGGCACCATTATAGAATTTGAGAGGGAAAACAGCATCTCTTGATCAGAAGGGACCAGGAGAAGCTACAAAATTCTGAACTGTATGTTCTGAATGACCTGCTACTCTGTGCTGCCCACACAAACTTAGCAGAGTTGTTTTAAGTGGTGATGTTGGATAGAAGTATTTTCCCAAACCTTCACACTCTGCTGTGCCATTTTCTTGATTAGGCCCATTAAATGTGCAGTCCTCATGTAACCTAAAGTCAGGCTCATTATTCTCTTCGCTTTGCCTTGAGTGAGAGATACAATAATCAGGTTTTCTAACTGCAATCTTCTCCCTTTCTCCTGACATTCAGAAGGAAATTGGAACAGATCACCTTGACCAGAACTCTTAATCACAAGATCAATATATGAAAATTCAGAGAGGCCTTCCTGACACATGAAGAGATTGTGGAAAGCACAAGAACTGCACAAACTTTGATAGAAGTAAAAGAGAAAGGCTGAAGGGGTGCTTTTAAGGTAACTGTTTATATTTGATACACATCATAGTTTTGTCAAGAAAATAATAAAAAGTCTATGCTAATATTTTCAAATCTCTTGGAAGATAATCTAGATACAATGCAGAGGATTAAGAGACAGAGGACATGACACAATGCAAAAATACTTGCTCATTGTTTACCTGGACATACAGCTTTTCAAGAGCAAGTTGACAGACAACCGCACAGACAAATTGTCTATGCAACTGCTTTGCTATAAACTGAGTAAAACAAATTGAGACCAGCTCCTCAATTCCACTACTCTCTACTAGAGATTATAGCCAGTAATAACACTAATCTGACAGAATAATGTTAAACCTGCAAAGAACATTTCTGATTCTGCAATACTCTCTAAAATAAAACCAATATTCTCTAAACCAAAACCAAGACCTTATTTTCTGACAAAAAAGCAGAATGCTATCTTAGAAGAGTGGATAGCTGATTGGATAGAGGACTTGCCTAGACTGTGAAAGACTAAGATATGAAACACTGTTTTGCCATATTCTTCTGTGCCAAATCAGTGCCTCAACTACCAGGTGTTTTCTCTCAATTTCTGCTAGTGTGCTGCTACTATAAATAGCAATTTCTGCTATTCGGACTGAGGAATTGAGTCAGGTCTAGTCAAACCCACATTCTCTCTCTGCTCAAATAATTATTTTATTATTGATGAATGAAATAATTCTCCATTACAGAACTGATACCATAATGACAGTACCCATGAAAGAGATACGACTGCATTAGAAAAGTATCTAATTTCTTCGGCTGACATGATCAGCTCTTAGTTTTGAGAACACCCACTCATACACCATGGGCAGCATTGTCATTATGGCACTATGCACCAATCCTTCTCTATGTGAAAGAAAAAGCAGGCATTCAGATGCAACAAATACTAACAAATTAATTAACTACAGAAGACTAGTAAGAAAATCCTCTCATGACTGAATCATGACCATATGCTAACACTATTGCATAGCTTTTCACAGTTCAGCATCTACTATATTATTTTGGCTGTGTATGCCTGTGAGCTGTGAAACTGCGGCCTTCCGTCTAATGCACAGGTTGTTAGAAAACACTTGTACAAGGATACATAGCACCTTGGAAATCTGAGAGTGTCAGCTATAACCAAACAGCCAGAGCTACCACAAAATTTAATGGAAAATGGGAATGTAGTCCCAGAGCACTAAATATACATGAACCACTAATAAAAGGTAAATCAAAGGAACATAACAAAAATACACAGCTGAATCAATTCTGATGGCAGCACTACGTACCATGTCTACTAGGGCAGCAGCTACCGTATCATTTTGGTTGTGCGTGTCTGTACATTTTAGAATAATGGCTTCTCTCTGATGCACCTGAAGTTAGAAAAGTGCTGCATAGTTATGTTCACTCACTAGTCATAGAATAAATTTGTTAAGTGACAGAATAAAATGAACAAGAACGATATTCTTAAAAATTACTAGTCTCATCACATACTAATCTGTAAAGGAAATAACAATTTAACAATCACTGCAAGGAAGCTGAACATCAAACAGAAACATGTACAGTAGAGTTGGCTTGCAAGATACTTTCATTCAACTTATGTTTTCAAAGGATATAAGGAGTATCCATTTCTGTAGCATACACATCATTAGCAGTTGAGTGTCTTCTGTGGTTGTTTGAGGCTGAGCTGCAACTGGTAACACTGACTGGGGAAAAGTTAGTTGGGGCTATAATCCATTTTCCATTCCTATTACATACTTGTACAGATTTTGCTTTTATGGTTACCATCAACTTTAGAGAATGCTTTAATACATTTTTACAATATTTCTTTTCAAATACAGTCATGTTTAAACTCCTTATTACAGCAGCACATGAATAATGAATTACAGCTCTGCAAAGTTTTTTTACAAAAGCTACATAAGCTATTCGTGTCTGCCCTGACGTCTTCAGTGCTCCTTTGCAGGTAGAGCTACAAAATTCTTAAAAGGTAGTTGGTCCAGGGGTAAGTAATGAGACCCTCTTTTTTCAACACATGCTTTCAGGACAGCTGAAAACGAATCCATTAAAAAAAGCATTGTTGAAGTTGTCCTATCTTTCTGAACTTCTCAAAAAAAACTCCAAGAGATAAGTTGAGCTGATCGGTTTTATATTCTTCATTAGATAATGGCTCAATCCATGTTTGCTGAGTGCATGGATACCCTCCTTGTCACACATTGTGTTGGGAGGTAAAAAGGCACAAGAGTATAGAAAAACAGAACTTTGGACATTTGCTTTTATTTAAATCTGCACACAGTTTCCATGACTGCTTGTTTAGAGTGAAAAGTAACTAGTAGGCATTTGCAGAGGAGGACTACAATAATGCCCTGCTGATATAAATACAACTAAACAATCCATCTTGAACTAAAAATACTTAAAGATCAGCATCCACCACTGTTCCTGACAGTGAATGTGATGGTGTCATTTCTAGAATAAATTACTATTCAACATGAATAGGCTTTACAGAGCCAAATAATAAAGAAACAGCAACCTTTTTTTAAAATTACATTTTTCTAGGAACATCAAACTAAATCCCGTAACTTGGACTTTTTCACCTCAATTGCTTGAGCAACACAACTCATAAAGGAATGATTATTTTAGGAAAAAATACCCCCAAAAGTGAGTCATTATCAGCTATTTTGGAAATACAAATTCAACAGTAATATTCTGGGTTTTGTTAGTTCATGATGCTACAGTGAGATTTTGCCAGCTTTTCTTACTCAGAGCAATATCACAAGCAGTACTATGGTCTTCCTCTCTGTGGAAAACAATTCTTCCTTTACAATAAACCTGCTTACTTTAAAAATAATTTTAAAATGTACAGGATTTCTCTCTGATTTGTTAGGATCACTTGAGATTGGAAGAGTTAGAGGAAGTCTTAGAAGAACAGTAGTAACTTCTTGATAAGCACTGGGGCTTTTTGTTCTTGCAGAGCTCAGATGGATATTGAAGCCCAAAACTAGGCTAAGTGAGAAAAATGGAAGCTCAGAAACAGCAACAGGACATTTCTTCATCCAGATAGTATATCACTTCCAGAATAAAAGAGGCAAATAGGGAAGAAATAGGGCAGAGCTTTCCATTGCTACTGTGTATGACAGATGTAGGCTGGAGGAGGACTCATATGCTCCAGTCAACTCCCAGTGCCAAAAACTGGTAACTGGCCATTGCAGACAAAGAAGTAGCATAGCTCCATCCAAGAACTCCTGAGAGAGCTGTGCCTACAACCATTCCTCCAGAAGCTTAAAATCTAGTCTTAAGTGCATAGCAGTAGTTACCCTTTGTGGCAGAATTGTCTCTGTGTTTCAGTATCTTAATCATCTTGAGAGTCAAAAATCTGTTGGAGTTACTGCTGCTTAAGACAGAAAAAAAAATCCTGCTTCATCTGTTTCACAAGTTCAAAAGGACTGTAAAAGTTACTCAAACAAAAATTTCACTGAACTTTCTCAACTCTCAAAATAG